TGACTATTATGTGGCCTCTTGCTTGTCATAAGTTATCCATTATGTGCTAGATGTTGATCATTAAGAAACCATAAATGAAGCAAAGCAACAAGAATAAACTTTGTAAGGGAGAAAGGTTGTCAACGAGAGTATTCATCAATGTAATTGAATTGGTTTTCTTTTTCTTTTCATTTTGAGAGTAAAGGGGAAGAGATATTTGTATGCAATTCTTCATTAGAGTCATATTCGTTTGTTTTCAATGTAACACATGATCGTCTCTGATTGGAAGTACTTTTTATTTTTTATTTTGTGATTGGAAGTACTTAGTCACCCTGTTTACTGCTGAAATAGAGTGGAGATGTTTCGTGAATTCATCAAGATGGATAAAGCCTCACGCAAAAGGGTTGGTGAAATCTCTGAACCTGGTTCACGAGCCATTGAGATTGTAGTACGCCGGGGGCATATTGTTGAAGATGGATTTCAACAATTAAACTCACTTGGGTCAAAGTTGAAGTCATCCATCCATGTCTCATTTGTCAGTGAATGTGGCCTTACGGAGGCTGGTCTAACTACGGTGGATTATCGAAAGAGTTTTTGACTGACATATCAAAAGAAGCATTTACCCATGAGTAAGTTTGAGATGTTATTTTGTATTTTCATGCATTTATTTCACAGCTATTTCCTCTTCCAGGAGTGACTTTTTTAGTTGAAACTTTTTCATTTTGCTGTAGAAACGGGCTTTTTTCCCAAACCTCAACTTCAGATAGCCTCCTAATTCCCACTGCTTCCGCAAGATTTTTGGACAACGGTCTTCAGATGATTGAGTTCCTTGGAAGAATAGTTGGTAAATCTCTTTATGAAGGAATATTACTTGATTACTCTTTCTCGCATGTTTTTGTACAAAAGCTGTTGGGACGATATAGCTTTCTTGATGAATTATCAACACTTGATCCAGAGCTATACAGGAGTCTTATGTATGTCAAGGTAATCCCAAGAGATATATCCATGTTATTGCTTCACTTATAAATCTTTTGTCAAAATTAATCATGACGATCCACACCGACAGATCCAAAAATTTCAATTGGCGGGGGCAAGATTATATACAATAAATATTTGTTTTAAAAGATATATTAAGCAGAACGTGAGATGTTCTAAATACTATACAATTGCATATCTAAAAAACCGTACCCACCTTACATCTACAAATTATAATTGCTCTTCACTTGTATTCTTATTTTGAAAGTGTTGTAATATTTCATTTTCAACACTATCAAAACTATATCCATGTGCATGTGACCAAACAGTCATATCAAAAGTTCATTTCCTATATACACTTTTGTCTTTGATTCTTCACAAAGTTTAAAAGAGAAAATTCTTTCATGACCTTAGTTTCCATTTAGAGGAGTCAAGATACTACTTTAAGTAGCACAATAGAAAACTTTTATTGGGATTTGTTCTTTCCTCGAGTCTGTTCTTGCAATTTAACATTTCACTGGAAGGTTCACAGTAATCATTCATGCAGAATTATGATGGTGATGTCAAGGAGCTCTTTTTTGACTTCACAGTTACTGAAGAATCATTTGGCAAAAGGCATGTGGTTGAGCTCAAGTCTGGGGGAAAAGATATTTCTGTGACAAATGAAAACAAGATGCAGTACATACATGCGATGGCAGATTACAAACTCAACCAACAGGTTTTATCATCATTGACTGTAGTCTAATGCAACTTACTCACTTTTGTACTGTATTAACTGTTGTATAATGGGTATATATATGTAACAATATTTAAATTGCAGATATTTCCATTTTCAAATGCATTTCATAGAGGGCTAACCGATCTTATATCGCCATCCTAGTTGAAATTATTCAATGCAAGTGAATTTAATCAGGTATCTTCTTTACTAAGTATGTTTAAAAGGTTTTCTTAGCGAGTTTAATAATTCTTCTTCTCTCTTGCACTAAGAGCAACTAAGCATGTTTGTGACAAAATTTTACATTTACTAAAATTATATGTTGTATCAGTGACAGTTTCTTAGAGAAAAATATGTTGTATCAGTGACAGTTTCTTAGAGAAAAATAGTTGAATCAAGATGCAGTTGCTCACTCATTCACTACAATCAACTTGTGATAACTTATACTGAAGGTTTTATTTGTGATGAGTTCACATATTACTGCAAGATTTCTGAGATACATAAGAATGTATTTGCTTTCAGGTGGCCATTACGATATTGACGTTGGTGGTTATTTTGTTATTTTCAATATATTCCCATACGAGGGACGTATATGATAATGAAAAATGTTAATTTTATTTGTGATTTATAGCGTATGTTTATAGAAATATTTTGAATTACTAAATTGATGAACTTAGTGTAAAGAAAATGTTCAATAATGCAAAAAAGAAAAAATGAAGTTTATAATTAGCTAAACAAGCTAAGCTCAAGTTTTATCCTTTTTTAACAAGTCAATCTCAAGTTTTATCCTTTTTTTAACAAGTCAAGCTCAAACTTTTAGTTAGACTAATTTAAATTAATGACTCAAGCTTGAGCAACCTCTATTTTTATCATAATCCACACTCAAGCTTCAGGTGTTCAGCTAGTTTTTGCCCCTAGTTAATCTTTCAAATAAGTTAATCATTCATTTGATGTATCTGAGATCTATTCTAGTTTGGTGAATTTGGTTGAATTGAAGTTTCTCACCCTCTCTAACACATACATATTTGCTTTAGAAAGTGACTAATAACCATTAATTTCAACCTTGTGAATTATAATGAAGAATTTATGTATGTTATTTGACTTATTTCTGCCAATTTCGTACAGGTGATTAAAGACTTTGAACCTAAAGAGCGCTGTATGGTTCTTAAATTTGTCACCAGTTGCTCTCGTGCTCCATTACTAGGGTTCAAACACTTACAGCCACCTTTTACCATTCACAAGGTATATTCTTTGATTTTTTTTATGTTCAATAGCCATTCGAGATCATTTATACTAGCACCTCTATTATCCTAGTTACTCTGTTTATCGTAATGAAATAAAGGCATGGTTTGATTTTTTTGTTACTTGAGTGGACTGTTTAGCATAACAATAACTGTTTTGCAACCAAATCTTTTTTCTTTATGGTTCTTGACAGAGAAGTTTAAAAATTTTTTTTGAGAGACTAATAGGGTCTCCTAAGTACTGTATTTTGCTCTGTGAATAAAAGATCATTGTATTTTGCTTCTTGGGTGTGTGGTATTCTTTTTCAATTGTTATTTCAGCATTCTTTTCAATGATTATTCCATTAAAGGGAAGAAAATACCAGGCCTTTGTGTGTGGCTCTTTTATCCAGCTTTAGTTTTCTAGAGTTTCTACTTTCTTCTCCCATTTTTTTCCCTTTGAAATATCATTGACCTCAATGGATATTAAAATATAAAAAGTTACTGTGTTAATTAATTTAAAATATAAAAAGTTAAAATATAATATAAATAAATAGTATAATTTAATATAAAATTAATTATAATGATTATTTTGAAAATATAATAAAGCAAAAATTAATGTTAAACAAATGTAATTGCAGCTAAGGATATATTTAATCATGGAATCAAATTATGTGACTTTTTTAAGTATTTACTTTTTTATATATAGATAATAGATAATAAATTTAATGTTTAATAAATATATGAATCATTAATAGACTACATTAATCACTCTAACCGACATAACTAAAAACGCAAAACACTCTAACCGACATAACCAAAAGAATTATTTAAAAAAATATTAAGAAAAGGTCAAGTCATACTTAATGTAAAATAATACAATTGATTCGAACATAGTTCTGAAAAATAATAGTTGTATATAACTAATTCTAAAACAAGAACTAAGAAGGAAGTATTGGATGGTTCATAAGTTTGGGATCAATTTCATGCTTTGACAATTGGTTAATTTAATACATTTCTTAATGAAATTCAAAACACCAAGAGTAGGTTGAAAAAGTGAACAAGCCTACTTGATTATAAAATAGAAATAATAACGTTTCAGTTTTCCTTAACAGAATAGCTAGACTTTCCTTAAAGTTTCCTTAAACTAATGCTATATGTGATGGAGAATCCGTTTTTGGGGCAGAGATTCTTGGTCTGGGTCAACCCAAGTCTAACCTCATCAACACAAATCACTCTACCCATATTAACACCTATTTCGCAGTCCCACTTTTTCTGCCTAACCGACATAACTTCATTAAAAAGCCCAAAACTAACTCTAAATCTATATAAACTAAACCCTAGTTCACCTCACTTTATCCATTACAAACGAATTCTGAATTTCGTATTCTCAAACTTCAGGTAACTTTTAGATTATCACTTTGGTTGAATTATTTAGGATTAGTGATGAGTGATGATTTGATATTGGATATTATAAAGCTCAAATTAGGGTTTACTATGATTTGGAATGTGATTAAGTTGGTAAATGTTGATACAGTGGCTGATTTGGATTTAGGGATTTATTCGAATATTGTTAATTTTTCGATTACCACTGTTATGAAAGTGAAGAGGTTCAAATTTTGGGTTTAATATGATTTGTGATGTGATCAAATTTGGTATTGAAATGTTGATACGGCGGCTGATTTGGATTTGGGTGTTATTTGAATGTTGCTTCTTTTTGTTATTTGAATGTTGCTTCTTTTAAGATTAACATGGATATGAAAGTGTCAAGTTTATTGGGTTTGATATGATTTGGGATGAGATCAAATTTGGTATTGAAATGTCGATACGGCGGCTGATTTGGATTTTCGGTGTTATTGGAATGTTGTTTCTTTTTAGATTACTATGGCTATGAAAGTGATCAAATTTGGTATTGAAATGTTGATACGGCTGATTTGGATTTGGGTGTTATTTGAATGTTGCTTCTTTTTAGATTAACATGGATATGAAAGTGTTAAGTTTATTGGGTTTGATATGATTTGGGATGAGATCAAATTTGGTATTGAAATGTTGATACGGCGGCTGATTTGGATTTTCGGTGTTATTGGAATGTTGTTTCTTTTTAGATTACTATGGCTATGAAAAGCTTCAATAGAACTGAACGAGTCATTGGGACAACATGCATCTTTTGGCTCCAAGGAAGATGCAACAGAAACCCGTGTAAGTTTCTGCACAGTGAAACACCATCAATTCTGTCAACTGGTTCTTGTAGAGATGATACTGCATTATATCATAATGCAAGGAAGCGTTGTCATATATCTTCTGAGTCTGCGAAAACGGTCTCACGTAGAAAAACAGGAAATGACATGTTGCCTCCCAAGCATACTACTAAGAATAAGGTCTGGAATAGAAATCTCCCCAAGCATACTACTAAGAAGGTCTTGAATAGAAATATGGGAGATGAAGTTCCTCAAAAGCATACTACTAAGAAGGTCTTGAATAGAAATATGGGAGATGAAGTTCCTCAAAAGCATACTACTAAAAATATGGGCGATGAAGTTCCTCAAAAGCATACTACTAAAAATATGGGAGATGAAGTTCCTCAAAAGCATACTACTAAAAATATGGGAGATGAAGTTCCTCAAAAGCATACTACTAAAAATATGGGAGATGAAGTTCCTCAAAAGCATACTACTAAAAATATGGGAGATGAAGTTCCTCAAAAGCATACTACTAAGAAGGTCTTGAATAGAAATATGGGAGATGAGAGAGAAAGGACACAAGTTCCTCAAAAGACTTCAATAAGTATCTGCAAATATTGGATGAATGACAACTGTGTTCATGGTGATCAGTGCCGGAATTTACATTCATGGTCTTATGGCGATGGGTTTGCCACATTAGCAAAGCTTCAAGGACACAAGAAGGTACTTTTAAATTCCTAATAAAACCTAGAAATTTTGGCTTCTTTTTGAATTGATAATTCTCAAGTAGTTTAATTAAAATATTTGTGAACAGCTTGTCACCGGAATTGCACTTCCAAATGGATCAGAAATACTATATTCTGGCAGCACTGACGGGACACTTCGGTCATGGGACTGCCATACCGGTCAATGCGCCAATGTGATGAATCTTGGTGCCGAAGCTACCTCTTTGATTAGTGAAGGCCCATGGATTTTTGTTGGTCTTCCTAACACTGTCAAGGTAAGCTCTTATTCTTACTTCAATTATTGTTTTCTCCCATTGTATGGTTTTGTCAATTATATAGGAGCATTACTTGTAAGCTGATTATGTCAATGTGGTTTTTGTGAAGGCCTGGAATACTGAGACTGCTTCACAGTTTACACTTGATGGACCTAAGGGACGAGTACTTTCCATGACTGTTGGCAACGATACACTCTTAGCTGGAGCAGAGGTAACTACTACTCACACATTGGTTTATGGTTGTTATCTAGATAAATTAGATTTTTAATCCTCTAGTTGCTACTAGTTGTATAGCTCATTTTGTTCTTTCACTTATGTTATGAAACAGTTCATTTCTGTTAATTTATGTTAAATTTGATTATTTTAATCACAGGATGGTGTAATTTCTGCATGGAAAGGCAGCTCTAAATCCAATTCCCCTTTTGAACTGGTTGCATCCCTACGCGGTCACACTAAATCTGTAGTTTGCCTGATTGTTGGGGTTGTCAAGATGCTGTTCTCAGGATCCAAGGATCAAAGCATTAAGGTATTTTGTTCTTCTATCTTAGCTCTACACAGCTGCTTGTTGCTTTATATATGTTTTGTGTGATAATTATTTCTTATTGTTTTATTCAGGTTTGGGACCTAGACACATTTGAATGTAAAATGACACTCAATGCGCATACAGACGAAGTCACATCCCTTCTTTGTTGGGACAATTTCTTGTTATCCGGTTCATCAGACTGCACTATCAAGGTCTGGTATAAAACCGAGGCAGAAACTTTGGAAGTTGCATATTCACACAAATTAGAAAATGTAAGTTACTTGGCTAGTATGTTTAACATCTGTACATTGTTGCGTACATTATTCGGTAGTGTGTTTTTGTTTGTAGTTGTCAAATTGATATTTCTTATGATAGTTGTGAATGAAAGGTGGTTGTTGATATTTTTTATTATGATATTTACAGGGTGTGGTTGCACTCTCTGGGATGACTGATCCAAAGATTAAGCCTATATTGTTCTGCTCTACTAGAGACAATTCAGTTCGCCTCTATGAATTGCCATCGTAAGTCAACTTGCAACCATCACCATCACATTCTCATGTAAACTTGAATCTGTTCTTGACCGCATGTCTACATTTATGATTTACAGATTTGCTGAGAGGGGTAGATTGTTTGCTAAGCAAGAAGTTGGGTTAATCGATATTGCTCCTGATGGACTCTTCTTCACTGGAGACAGAACTGGACTGCTGACTGTCTGGAAATGGGAAGAGCCCAAGGTTGAAGTTGTAGCATCCTCTTGATTATGAGGTCACAGAAAGTTAGAAAGTTTGAGGCGAGAGTCTAATTTGAGATTAGTTTGCGGAGACTTGGGAAAAATTCACAAGATCGGTATCGTCTTAACACCGTAATTCTCCTGCATATGAAAATTGATTTGAGTTCTTATTATGCTTTAGCCTTAAATTCTCATTCTCTGGCAGTTCTTGAGTAGTTTATTTCAGCAGTCAGCACCATCTCACACACACACTTTACGCAGGGAAGCCGATGAATATAAGTGAGTGATCCAAAAGAAAAAAAAAAAGAAAAAAAAAAGGAATACACCTTTTAAGTCTGGTTGCCTTCAAAAAAAAAGTTGAAAAAAAAAATGTTAGTTGGTTCAGCGGTTTCTGGTGCTGAACTTGGTAGGGCGGATTACGGTCTGATCCCCCGCAACTACAACTGAGTAAGCAAAGGGTTATGCCACGTAAGTACCGGAACCCCAAGCAAAAAGGATCAGAGCTTAAAAAAAAAAAGGAAAATTACTCGTTGTTAGTTGGTTCAGCGGTTTCTGGTGCTGAACTTGGTAGGGCGGATTACGGTCCGATCCCCCGCAACTACAACTGAGTAAGCAAAGGGTTATGCCACGTAAGTACCGGAACCCCAAGGAAAAAGGATCAGAGTCACTAACCGGTCGCCTTGCTACAAGTGTGTGTGGAGATAACGGGCTTAATGTGATTGCGCCTGAATGAAAAAGAGCAAAAAGGAGGAAGGGTAAGTTAGGCTTCAGCATAATAACATGATTCGAGTTGATTTGTATATTTAGGAGGTTTATGATTGCACAATTGTGGATTAGTGTTTTTACGATATCCTTAGTGTGTAAGATTAGTACCTATCGATGCAAACTTAATCGAAGAAGACTTTTAGTCTGAAATGAGTAACTCTTGATGTGATTTGTATAACTCGTTTTGATCTGCGCGCGACAGCGAACCCTTTGGAAGTGAATGTCCTAAAACAAAAATTATATTACTAATCTAGACATTTCAATCTTTTCGGAGAATATTTATTTACTGAATTTTGATAATTATATTTATTTTCCCTTTTGCTTTCTTCCACCAACTACTGAATGTTGTTGATGTATATCGCGGAATGCTTTCGGTTAATAGGCAGGAGGTCACAATTCAATTTATTTTTTCTCCAATCAATTCATGATTGCGAAATGTAAAAGCAAATGTGTACATATTTAACAGGGCAATTCCACTGTAAATATCAAAGTTGGTTAAATAGAGCATGATAATCTTAAAGTTGGATAAAACTGCATGCTTTTTTACACGCCTTGTACACTTTAGTTAAACTTAACCAATTGGAAGTGTATGGCCTAAAACAAAAATTATATTATTAATCTAGACATTTCAAAAGAGCATAAAAAAATTTTTAATTCAAAAGAGTTGTCAATAAGGATGATAACATAAAAATTTTCATTTTTAGTTAAAGTTTCATCAAAATACATATATCCAAATGTATTAAATCTATTTTTAATTCAAAAGAGTTGTCAATAAAGATGATAAAATAAAAATTTTCGTTTTTAGTTAAAGTTTCATCAAAATACATATATCCAAATGTATTAAATTTAATGGCTCAAATTCTATGTGAGTTTTTTTTTATTTTTCTTAATAAAAAAAAAGTGAGTTGAATTTTGAGAGTTCATGAGAGTCACGACAAACCTTAAGGTTCAAAGAATACTTATAGAGATACTTACATATCATTCATTAAAGAGATCTTCACATCGACAGCAAAATTTAATCTCTTTGTGTGTGAGTCAACTTCTTATCAACTAAATCAATTTAAATACTTTTTCACTTTTTTATCTTAGCTATAAATATCACATTTTCTATCTATTTAATAGTTAATTTTGAAATTAATTTTAAATTACTCAAGTTTGATATGTTTCATTTCTTTACATGGCAAGGTCCGACAATGCCATAAATCACACCATATATAAATTGATTTGCGATTTTATTCATGTTTGCATTGAGTTTAAACATGCCAATGACTTACCTTCTCAAATTAATAGAAATATTAAGAGATTTTGTAGTTATATTATTTGGAGCACCTTGTCACAAAATTCCAAAGCAACTAACAGTTATTTAGCATAGATGGAGGATCATTCTTCTAACAGCCACGAAAGAAAAAAACGCTGGTTAAAATGCTTACTAACAGAGATTTTCTTTTGGAGGGAAGTGATGCAATATGTCATAAGAACATTTATGTTAGAGAATTCCACTCTTATGGGACAGAGATTTTCTTTTGGAGGGAAGTGATGCAATATGTCATAAGAACATTTATGTTAAATAATTCCACTCTTATGGGAGATGTTATGGTATAACATATACACGTTGATAAAAACATAACTAATACTCTGGTGAAAGGGTTAGCTAGATAAAAATATATGTAATGCTTGGATCAAATCTTTAATTTGATTTATATTTCAATTTTTGTTTCAGATTCCTTTACATTCATCGCATTTATTTTTCTACTTTAATTTCCGACATTTACTTTTATCTTTATTTTTCTGTCATTGTTAGTGTTTCAAACTTCTACCTTTCTCTGCAAACGCCCGTTTTAAATTATTTTAAACTGCTTATTATATCTTTAGTTAATTCAAAAATTCAAAATTGCTTGTTTGTTTACGCAATCATGTTTGGCTAAATTGTCTTGAGACCGGCGTATGAGGATCGTCGTTACCGATGAGATTCAGTAGAAAATAATAGGCGCGGAACGATAATAAATTCTGATTTGGTTTTATTTTTTAATTGTAAGTCTTAATATTTTGTCACGAGAGTGAAAAGCATACTAAGGTTCGAGCCAATAGCGCGAGAGTGTGAGGATTGAACCAGATAGTGGAAACTAGACATCGATCCTAAAAACAGCGAGAGCGTCTTAGGTATTGATAATGATTTAATTGATTTTCAAAATACGCACTTTCTAATTAAAACAGGCAAGCGAGAACAAAATCCTGTAGTTAGGTAGTGTGACTTTAATCAATAACGCGAGAGTGTGAGACAGAGTCTTTAAATTGATATTTTTTACGGAATATAGTTTAACTATAATTTAGTGCCTAAAATCTACAGAGTCCCTTAGGAAGGCGGAATCCATATTCCAGCCTATCTTTATTATTATATTTTCAAGTTTCATTTTAGTTTCGTTTAAACCAAGTAATCATTAGCCTTAACTTTACATCGCAGCAATAGATAACGGTATGTTGACATTCGTCTCTGTGGGTTCGACAATCTTTTATATTACTTCGATATTTTCGTGCACTTGCGGACACATCAAGATTTTGGCATCGTTGTTGGGGACCAACAATCAATATTGTGATTCCGTTTTTGCACAATATAGACTAAGACACTATTATATCAATTACTATGTATAACCAAAATTTCCTCTACAATTACCACTCTCAATATTTTGAGGAACCGCAAGATTCCCATAAATCCGACCTCGAACTATTAATGGAGGATTTCAATGCGACGCTCACTTTCACCCAAATTCCCTCTACGATTACCACTCCCAGTATTTTAAAGAACCGCAAGATTTTCATAAATCTAAACTTGAAATACTAACGAAGGAATTAAATGAAACACTTACTCAGTCTAGGATAGAATCTATGATTGAACGCTTTATGGAGACACAAACTCTCCAAAATAAATAGTTTAGAAAATAACATCTCCAAATTAATAAAAACCTTAGGCAGATGACTTATGGTTGATTCCCCCGTGACTAACAGCGAGGCATTAGAGACTCAAATCTCCCTGCTTGCACAGACGCCTATAGAACCCTCCCTTGAGAGACATGTGGATGTTGTAACAACCAGTAGTGAAGAACAAATAGAAAATCCTAGGGAGAGTGATAATGAAGTTGAGGAGAGTTCTAGTGAGAAAAACGTAGAGATTGAGAAAAATCCACCAACACCACCCGAAAGGGGGTTGTCGAAGCGGTAGAGAAGGAAACACCAACTGTTATTACTCCTCTCTATATCCCATCGATTCCTTTCCCGAAAAGGCTTGTGGAAGTTAAGATAGACTCCCAATTCAAAACGTATGTGGAGGTATTGGAAAATATCCATACCAATGCACTTTTGTCTAAGGTCCTACATAAAAAGAGAAAGTTATAGAACCATGAAACTAGGGATATCATTACTGTTAAGAGGGTAAGGTTAACCTTTGAGGTGGTGGATGAAATAACTAAGCTCAAATTTGAAAAGCTGATACTCAAGATAGATCCAGAACCACCACCACAAGTTCAAAAGAATGAACCACCCCACCGAAGGAAGAAAAAAAAGTGAGGGATATGAGAGATGGTGATCCGCTGTCGCGCGCGGATCAAAAACGAGTAATTTTAGGAAAATGCAGTATAGCGACAATGACTCGAAATATCGTTCTCAAAAGGATTCTTGTAGTGATTGACCAATAAAGTAATAATTTATGGGAGTTTGAATTTTGATTAAGAGAAAAAATACTGAAAATAAGTGATTATAAAAAAAATGATTATTAAAATAAGATAAAACGGCTAATCCTACTGATTCGGGTTCCGACTTATCATCGACTATTATAACATCAATCCCTAAACGGCTCCAATCCTATTCGATTATGATATTAATCAGACAAGCGCTTACCAACATCAAATGAATTATGTTCCTGTTTACCGAATTAAGCAAACGGTTAAGAATATGACGAATTAACGAATTAAGCAAACGATAACACGCAATTAAATTTAGGAACATGCATACAATCGAATTTAATCAATTCTATCCTATGAACAACAATTGAGTTAAGCAAACAATTGCAATCAAATTAAGCAAATGACTTCATAGAAAAGGATTGAAAGGAATCAGATTTAAATTGATATTATAATAACCTCAAAGTGTTGAAACCATACACAACAGGATTTGCCCGGAGGTATTAGTTTTCCATGAGTTCTTCTCAAAGGTTTTTTTTTATTTTTTCGTGAATAGTGAATAGGGTTTTTTTGGCTGTACGGCTAGACC